AGATCACTATGAAAATCGCCTACCCTAATTTGTGTTGACGTGATTTATGAATAATTTTATTGAATAAATATCAGGATAATGTTTATTATGTAATAAACAAACATTAAACAATCAATAACTATGTTTGTGATAGCACAATAATAATAATGAGAAAATAATAATAATAATAATAATAATAATAAAGAAAAATAATAACAACAACAAAACAAATATATGCACTCTAAAAAATCAAGACACTTAGATAAGACAGTTCGTGTCTATTTTGCATTAATTTTGCTTGAGCGTCTAAAATGGGTCATCCGTTGGCACGTGGCGCGTCTTACGAAGACACACTACATATCTAACAAAAAGACGCATTATCTGTCTCAAGAAGACGCGTCACGTGTCAACGGATGACCGATTTTAGACGCTCAAGCAAAATTAATGTAAAATAGACACTTGGACTGTCTTGTAAGACACAAGGCATTTCTTACAGTGTGATGTAACGAGAGTCAGCCATAACAGAGAACAACAATAGAAAAATCAAAGAGGATTAAATAGACAGATAATATATGATGATAGGTGTAGCGTCAATGAGTGACATCTATTAACGCTAACACTGCTTCAGTTTCCCAGTTTTAGGTATGGTTCAGATGATTAACTTCCCACAATTTTCTCTTCATCAAAATTTACTTGAAATTAAATAACGTTTTCATATGTTTTTGAATTTTTTTGCAAGCATTATAGATTTCAAAGTCATTTTCTCTTTAATAGTATCAGATGAAAAGACTTCTAATAGAGTTCTCTTAGTTTAATTGTTGTGAAAGACACAAGCAACTGACTATTACTGTTGTCTGAGTGTGAGTGTGGATCTGGCTCTGATGCTGACTCTTGCTATGGGTTAAGAGCAGGATATCATGACGTCCACGCCCTCACACTAATTCGTCTTTCAACCACCAATCAATGATATATACTCAATTGATGATGATATTCAATACAGTAGTCACTTACACTCTAGTTCTTTGTTTTTATTTTTTCAGTTTTCTTATGAAAAGAAATTATCTGAGTGACCTATATTTCTATTATGAAGGAATACTTAATTTTTGGGTGAAAGATGAAATTTTATTTTCGTCTCTACTTAAAAAGTTTCGTATATCAAGAATATATAGGGTTGGAAAAAATATTTTGATAGGAGGGTGTGGGTGTGTGCGGGTGTGGGTGTGTGTGAGGGCGTGTGAGTTTTAGTAAATACTCGCACACACCCACACCCACACCCATTAATACGAAAAATAAGAATTATAGAATTTTCTGTACGACAAAACCATACAGGTAGTCAAAGTGAAGTTAATTGAACTTCATCTATTAATTATCATCTTATTTTCTAGAAAAAACTATTTCATATTAGACAACGGATCAGATTTTAAAAAGGTTTATGTCCTATCGAAAAGACTTTTTATTTAGTTGATTATCTGTCTATTGGTAATCAAAATATCTTAAGAAATTTTTTAGATCATTTTCCAAATGGTATTAACTCACTATCAATGCTCAGAATTTTGGATATTCTAACTTGTTTTTGACTCATCTTCGTCGTATTGTTCCTTTGACACAACGCACTAAACTGATCGATTGATGATTCAAATAGATTCACATACACCACCTATGTTACGAACAAATGGACCATTATCAAATATGATCGGATTCTATTAGACATTTAATCTAAAAGAAAATGATAAAATGTTTCGAGAACCATCAAAACATGTACTTATTTGGTGAAGAAAACAAACTTATTATATTGAAGACTGAATATTAGGAAAGTGATCTCTATAGACTAATGCATTTGTTTGATGAATCTCTTAAAAGAGTAAACCCTGTAGAGATCGATTGTATAATGTGAATTGTCAGTAGATTTTGTCCGAATTTTTCACTATAAACAATGATATTTATACAACACAAGGAAAATTTGAATTTATAAATCACTATCGATCTTTGCATTAATACATGTATTTCTTTACTTAGAAAGATACATTTAGTTTTATATCGAAAACGTCTTTTTTTCATACAGTTTGCTTCTTAATCATGATAAACAGTTAATAATCTAACGAACTTTTTTGAAATTAAATGAAATTAGTATCATTCAATTGTTAGCATTTTAATTGATTGAAATTGGTTCATATTTACTATTGATATGTAGTATATGACACATATGCTCTTCAATATTCAATCATGTCAATGAAAAAAAAATTCATAACAACCATAGATTAATTATTCATAGAAGAAACTACCATTGTTGTTTGTTATATTTGAACTGACTATTGTATGTTTTTTTAGTCATTCAATAAAGAATCCTTTTAAAATCCTTCTATAAATATTTTCAACATATCTTATATAAAGTGATTTAGGTAGGATATTTTTCCTAATCAGAATTAAGATAAATTTATTTCAATAACGACAAAATAATGTGTATGCAATAAATCGAATACTGAATGTAATTGTCAAAATAGAAAAGCATATATCATCGTTTATTTAGTAAGTTGGAATGAGCCTTTGGCTGTATCATAGATAGCAGAGTGTGGATGTTTTGATCCACATTCACCATTGCAAACTTGAACTGTTACATTGTAAATACCTGGCAACCATTCTTCGCATGGTTCTAGTGAAAAAAAAAACGTTTAAAATAAAATATTTTAAAAGATAATAAAAAGTAGCTTGCCTTGTGTAGGATCGCAGTGTGGATCAGGTTCGGCTTTGACGGTGATTTTTTCACCATATGTACCAGGTTTCTTGGCTTCCACTAAGAAACTAGCACCAAGTGGAACATGATCGGGAGTACGGATATCAATGTCAAGTTCACCTGTACCAGTTCCATTTATTGATACATAGGTGAGGTCAATAGCAAATGTTGTTCCTTTGGGACCACTCGCTGGTAAGATTGAGAATTTGGTGATTTTAGCATCACCATGATCATTGACTATAAAGACAAATATTTCATTTTTTTTAACTAACATGTGATAAGGATATCATTACTTGGACAAAGTCTAGCAATTTCACAATACCAGATGGGATCAAGATCAGCTTTTTCGATTAACTTTATGAATTCGTCAATTCCAACAACATCACAAACTAAATCACAGACTGTTCCAATGAGTTGTGAGCCAGTTTTTTCAGCCAAAGCTTCACATAATGTACCACATGTACCAATAATACCAGTGTCAAGAATTAAATTGAGCAAAATATTAATTGATTCCTCAGCAGTTTTGATACATGTTGGGCAAACATCAAGACGTACATTTGGTTGTAAAAAGCGTGATTTAATACGTTGAATATTGTACGATTTAGCATTGAAAGCGGGTGAACCACTTGCTATTCCAAGAATAACAATACAAAGGAAAGTTACAGCCTTGTACATTGCTACTATAAATAACTATCACAATAAACAAAAGAATGCTAATAAAATAAACAATAGTAATATAAGAAACATAGTGCACATAACCCCTTGATGAGAAACTAATCAAGTGTTTCATGTGGATAAATGTACGTATACAGAAGTAATATCGACATTCCACAAATGGTCAAAACTTTACACAGCATTTCTTCTACAAGATTGTCGAAAATTGAGATTATTTGGTGCAATCCTGCCTCTCTTTTATTTTTATCTTCTGTGCATTAGCAAAGTATCAGTATTCAGATATCGCTATTTAATGAAAAAATTATTGAAGAAAAAGGCAATGATTCATTCTGAAAATCTAAAAAATCAGTTCATCTTATCGGTACTATTTCAAGTATTACTCTGACAATAAAGTCAAAGTTTGAGAGTAAATTAGGAAAGACTATTGTTCCAACTATATAATCCTATGTAATAATGAAAAAAAGATCTAGTTATTAACGTGCGAAACCAAATAACTAGGTCGAAAAATATTCCGTTCATGTCTAAAGGATATACAAGGAATTCAACAAGACTTTAGTCAATTCTAATTGACAATATTAATGAACATAAATGTTCCAGTGGCACGATATATGAGAGGAAAACAATAAAGGCCGAACAGTCAGTATTTTAATTAATCTATTGCAGAAAAGTTAATTAAGGAAAAATGATTCAATAATGATCTTGATATTGATATTAATTATGTCGTCTAATACTAACAATGATTCTAGAGAAAAGAAATCAATCAATAAAAATTAAACGAATAGTTTATTATTAAGTTCTATTAGATATTCTGTATGTATGGATTTATTGTAAAATGCCAGTTTCAGATTACAAACATATTGAGAAATGGTTAAACTAGCACACATTCATTTAAAGTTAAATGTAAACTTATAATAATAAAACTCAATTAATTAACAACAATTAATAACCTAGGCAGCATAATACATCAAATAGAATAAATTTCATATTAACGTTAGTCAATGGAAACGAACTTTGACTAGCACCCAAAATACCTCATTCGATGTAACTTTTTTTTTATGTTCTTTTCAACCGTATAGGGGACTCTGTAGGTTTTAGGATTTGGACTTTTACGTACTTTAAGGTGAAGGTTATTCAAAGTAGAGTAACCTATTGTGTCAGGTACATTCTGTTCTTTCAGATGATGTCTTTAGAAATAGAATTGTTGCTTGGTGTATTGAAGAGAAGAGGATAAACATGAGCGTATTTTATTTGTTGCTAAATTTTTTTCCGCTGAAAAAAAAAAATCTTATTCGTGATACAGAGACTAGTACCTGCGCAGTCTTTATGTGTACTTCGTGACTATAGACGTTGCCTAAGTATATCGACCGTTAGAACTTTCTTAGTCTTTGTCTTTGAACAGAATCAAAAGAAACAATCTTGTTTCTAAACTTTTTTCCATTTCTGTACTTGTGATATTCATGGATTGATGATGCTTCTCAGGCCAAGAGCTACTTTTGATATTTGTACTCATTCAAAATTAAACTCACATAGTGTATCTTGTAGTCCTTGAGGAGCTCTACTGAATTACAGATTCAGATTCGCAAAACATCTCTCTGATGGGCATTAAGAATCGACATGAGAAGTGGATTGTATGGCCCAGAAAGGCCATTATGGAACATGCAGGGAAAAACTGCCCATAAGATCTTTCAAGGAATTCTATTATAACTCTATCGGACGCAAGTTTTCATGGTAAGCACGAAAATATTGTCACATTTTAATGTGAGCAAAAATGGTAAAGCTATAAGATGAATATGAGTCGAAAAGTGTCGAAAAAGTCTTGTGAATTCGGGTAGTCGAGTTAGTTTGATCTATAATGGTTCTTCTTGAAAGTTTTTTTTTTCTTCTTAAAAATATACTAAACGATGCAGTTTTTGACGAACTTTCAGAATATATATGAATATTTTGGGATGGCATGGCGGTGATAGGCAATGTCGACAATACTAAGTGGTGATTACGTCAACTATCATCGTCACACATCATTGTCATAGCTCTTACCAATCTGAGAGAGTGGTTGAGAATGCAAGAAATAGCCTGTTTTATAGAGCGAACTTAACTCTATCTTTTGAGATATTACATGACTTAACTGGTCAAGCTGTTGCAGAGACAGTGGAAAAGTACGATACAACTCTGAAAAACAAAAAACGGAATTTTTTTAGGGATCAACTCGAACACGACACATTGCAACTGGCCGCGTTTTTCATAACCAAGTCGGAATGAGTTGAGACTTTGGATTTCGACGTTTCAGGGTATGGCTTTTTTGAGATATTTAATCGAAAATAAAAGATTTGCCCCAACCGGCTCAGTCGGTGCTGTGGGGGACGCTCTCTTAAGAATGCAAGATCGTGAGTTTTAGACTCCTCATACGGAAAATGGTTAATTTCTAAAGAGCAGATCGCCATAGTCCCCCTTTTGTATGGTGTATTAGAGTTGACTTACTTCTTACACTTGCTTGACGAAAGATAGAAAATGAAAGTGATTGCTCTTTCTCTTCTTCTTTTATTGCTTGAAGAAAAGAAAAGATAGGCACAAGTGTTATCTTATGCTTGTTGTTGTTTAAAGTCCAAACACTTGGTTGGTGGACACACTCAGTATTGTGAAAAAAAATCCACAAAGTCACTCACGATGTTCGTGACGCGAATAGAT